AGTCATCTTTAAGTCCAATATAGCTCTTCGTATAGTCTTTAAAATAGTCCCCCCCCCCAGTTCCTTGAGCTGAGTTTCTCCCCAGTGTTTCTATCTTGGATGTGGGTCAGGGGGGCACGTATGGACGAGACACCCCCATAATAATAATAATTTATATAATAATAATTTATTATTTATACCCCGCCCATCTGGCTGGGCTTCCCCAGCCACTCTGGGTGGCTTCTAACAAAATATTAAAATAGTAATAATAATTTATTATTTATTATTTATACCCCGCCCATCCGGCTGGGCTTCCCCAGCCACCAAACATTAAAAGCTCCCCAACCAAAATGTTGCTCAAGGCCGACTGCACTGTCCTCCTGCTCCTCTCGTTATCCCTGTGCCAACCCTGCGAGGTGGGCTATAGGCTGACTGGCCCCCAAGGTCATCCCCAGCTTCATGGCCCAAGGGGATTCGAACCCTGGTCCTAGCCCAATGCTCTAACCACTATGCCGCACATCCTGGGAGCGGAAACAGCCCCATCAGAAACATCCAGCACCGAGGCAGATCTGCGAAGCGTCCTTCTGAATCGCCTTGCGTCCGTCCACAGGGCACTTTTGGAGCACGCAGCTGCCCCTGGGAGAACCCTGGGAACTGTAGTTCGTCGCTCGCGAAACTATAACTCCCAGCACCCGCAACAAACTGCAGTTCCCAGGGATCTTTGGGTGGGTGAGAAGGTGCCTTTAAATGTAGGGTGTGGTAGACGGGCAGCCAAGGCCAACTCAGAGGCAGAACCAGAGAATCGTGGAATTGGGAGAGGCTCCAAGTGGCCATCTAGTCCAGCCCCCTATAAATAATCCCTAGCAGTTGGTGACCCAAAAAGAAATGGGTTGAGAAGGAAGAACTTTGCTGTCCTGCCCGCTGCCAAATCCCCCTGCCGCTGTCCCAAAAACCCTGCAGGAGAAGCTCAGATGTGAACTGGATTATTTATTTCCTTGTATTTTTATTATTATTATTATTATTATTATTATTATTATTATTCCACCGTATACCCGCAGGACTATTTATTCCAGGTATTTATGCTTTGCTGAATAGTCATCATATTCTAAGTTTAAAAAAGAGAATTGCAGAGCTGTCGATTTGCAAGAGACCCCAAGAATCATCTAGCCCAATGCAGAAATCTCAGAGCAAAAAAGTTTGCAAAGATCCCCAGAGGTCATCCATCCCAGCCCCGCCCGCGCTCAATGCAAGATGCAGCCACAGCGCCCCCAATGGCTCCTGTCTGTCCTGCAGCCCCTTCCTTTAACTGCCTCCAGAAAAAAGGGGAGTCTCCCCACCTCCGCTGCCCCACCAGAGACTCCAGCTCCCCCGCCCCGCCCCCCGACGCTCCTGAGCCCCGGGCCGTGATTGTCCAAACGCAATTCTTGTCTCTCGGCCTGAGAGTTGAGTCTGGACATCGCGAGCCGGAGGTTTGATGCCGACAAAGGTCATGGAAGGACAGAATCGCAGAGCTGGAGGGGGACCCCGCGAGGGCATCCATCCCAACCCACTGAATCGCGCGGGTCTCAGTGGCAGAGAATGCCGGTTTTGCAAGCGGAAGGTGGGGGGGGGGCAGCGTTGCTGGTCTAGAGACCGTCCTTTCGTTGGATTAACAGTTTTAATTGGATTTTGAATAAACGTGCAAGCAATCGTTCCCTCTCTGGGTTTGGTTGTGTTGTTATTTTGCTGAGCGGAATGTGCAAAACGATGTTTCCCGAAATGTTAATAAAAATAAAAGGATTACAAAAACAAACAAACGTGCAATCTTTCTTTCTCTTTAGGGTGGGGGCACTAGCTATGAGCCGCTCAGAGGGGCTGGAGGAACCCGGTCTGATAGGAGAAGAAATAATAAAATTATCATTTAGAATGAGTATGATTATTGCGGAACCCAAGCGGCGATGCCTCCAAAATTTAGGGGACTCCCCTAAGTCGTCCGGATTCGTGTTTAGCCCCGCGTCAAACTGGCTTTGGGGCCCGAGGGCGTTCAAGATGGGGAAGCAACGGACGGCCTCTGAGCATGCACAGAGTTCTTTCCCCGCAGGGCTGAGGAGCCCCCACCAGCCGGACCCACAGCGGGGAGAGGGAGCCAAGTCCTTTGCAAAAATGCCGTCCCAAATAGGGGTTTGCTTTCCCCCGGCCCAACTCTGCGCCCCCTGAGCAGAGAGGGGGCTGGGACCTTTGGGGAGGGGTGGGATTGCGGCTGCTGGAGGAGCCGCACAAGGCAGCGGACCCCCCCCCCTTGCCGCCCCCTATAATCCCTGCCCAGGCCCCTTTCAGTGGGGACAATGGGGCAGGCAGAGCCTGGGTGGTCTCCCCGGCCCCTTTCAAACTAGCTGTCAGTGCTGGCCAAAGACGCCCTGCCAAGCCTGTCAGACCCTCCCCTCTCGGGGGCTGCCGCTTCCTTCCCCACAGATCTTTCTCTGGGGTCGGGGGGGGGGCGCCTGTCCGTCTTCCTCCCCACAACCCGCCACTTGCGCTCTTTCTGGGAGCGATGATTTCCCGCAGGCGGTTTCTGTTCTTGCCGCAGAATAAGGCGCACGGAAATGGGCAAGCCTCCGGGTGCCACAGGTCTCTTCTTCAGCCAGAGAGAGAGAGAGGATTTCTCACCAGACAGAGACCGGCCCATGCCTGCGCCACGCACCCACCACAGGATTCTGGGAACCCTAGTTCATTAAGGGCACTGAGAATGGCATCTCTTCATGAGGAACTATAGTTCCCAGGACTGAAAGAAGCTTTCAAACAGGACGCTGCGAGGCTTGTGTTCAGATTGGCCAGGCCAAATCTCCCCAAACTCCGGCTGCCGTTTAACCAAGGCCTGCTGGACTACAACTCCCGACAACCGGAGCCAGCGATGATGGGAATTGTAGTATGTGATCGTCCCCAGTCCGGCGCCCAGCGTTTCACAGAGGGCAACCAGGCGCCAGGACTGGGAAGAAGGAGCAGCCCACAAGCACAGCTCTTGCCTCCCCCTCCTCCAAAATGGGACCCCCCCCAGCCGTTATCCGGTTCCATCAGAATGAGAGACGCACACAAATCTGCGAGCTTTCGGATGCCACAAGTCTCTTCTTTAGCCGGGATATTCCGGAACTGGAATATTAATAATGTGTAAAACGTGCAGGGATAAGCAAGGAAATAATGAAAGAATCAACTGAATAATTATTAAACTACAACAACAGAACAAGATGGAAAAAGTAAAAAAAAATTTGAGATCACACATGGGTGAAGGGCATTGGGGAATTTATAAAAATGTCTAATATAATATTTCTAATTGCGTTGCATTTAAAGGGAAGTCTATAGCAATTAGGTATATTTTAATCTAGTCAGCCATGTAATAGGCTTATGTTACAAAAGGAATGTGGATTTTGAATTTGATGTTTGTAATTCTTTTTCGGTTTTGAAATAAAGTAATAATAATAATAATATGTCTCTTCTTTAGCCGAAAGGAACAAGAGGATTTCGCATCACACAGAAGCTCTGTCCTTGCCATGCGTCTCAAGAAGATTTCTGACACTCTTATTTGGGGAGGGGGGTGTTGCCAAGGTAACCACCCCAGCCCAGTTTGACCTCCCCATATTTCCCTCCCCCTCTCCCCCCCCCCCATCCTCTGTAACAGTGCTGGTCTCAGGCCTGAGTTCAAATCTTCCCCTGAAGTTCTCTGGGTGTGTGACTTTAGGGCAGCCGCGACCGCTCAGCCCAGCCGGAGCCCCATGGACTCCTGGGCGCCTGTGGGTCATCCAGTCCAGCCCCCAGCAAGGAGCATAATAATAATAATAATAATAATAATAATAATAATAATAATAATAATAGCTGCTCTGGGCGGCTTCCAACAAGGATTAAAAATGCATCAAAATGTCACACATCAAAAACTTCCCTGAACAGGGTTCCTTGAGAGACGGCCGTCCAAATTCAGGCAAAAATTCAGGCAAGCCTGCCCAGATATTTAGAAAGTAGCCATTATTATTATGAGTTACAGGTGGGTAGCCGCGTTGGTCTGCCGGAGTCGAAACAAACAAACAAACAAAAAATCTTTCCAGTAGCACCTTAGAGACCAACTAAAGTTTGCTATTGGTACCTGCAGGTATCAGGGCAGTTCAGAGGATAAAATTACCAAATAATCAAAATAAGAACAGAAACAACCCAAAAACCCGCCCCAAATAAATCTTAATCTGTTTTTGGTCGACTGTTATTTCAACTTTTCAAAACTGCCAAGTTGTCACAGTTGATTCACTTCATTGATCATCTCATTAACCTTACTGATAATCAATTTTCTTCTTTTTGTGTGTCTGATCTGACTCTGTGCACGATTGTAATTACGTGCTTTTTATTTTTCCAATAGAGAAAACGTGTTTTTAAATTGATAGTCTTATGGTCCTTTTCTGTAAGCCGCTTTGAGGTTTTCCGCAGTCTAGCGGTTTCTGGGTTTTCCTAAATAAATCGCAAGCACATCAGTAATTAAGTAAAAACAAGTCAAAGCACATCTCTTCTGCTTTTGATTATGCTCAAGGCTTCTCCATCCTTTTCGCCGGTCATGTAAATATTTCCGGCGAGCCGCTCGGAGGCTGAGTCACAAATCGAGCGGAAAAAGAAGCAGGAGGAGGGAGGGGGAGATTGTGTCGCGGGGGGTTGGGATGGATGACCCCTGGGGGTCCCACGCAACTCCACGATTCTGCGATCCAATGAAAAGCGTCGCTTTAAATCTGCCCCAAGCGACCCGAGACGGATCCATCGCCGGCGCAGGCTGCTGTCCACCCGGGGAAGCTGTCTTGGGGGGTGGGGGGTCCGCCCCACTGAAGTGGGGGGGCGGGGTGTGTGCCCTCCTTCCTCTCTTCTGGCCCCTTTCCGCCCCCCCAGCCAGCCACCCCACCGGTGCAGCTCCCGGGCTTCACCGGACGAGCAGCCGCCTGCCTGCCTGCCCCGCGGGGGCGGGGGGTGGGGAGACCCCCTTCTCCCTTTCTGTGCTCTGTGACGTCAGCGCGGGGGCGGGGAGAGGAAGTGACGCGGCCTCGGAGGTTCCCACCCTCTCCCGCCTCCGGAGGAGGAGAAGGAGGAGGAAGACGGAGAAGGAGACGGAGAGGCGCCTCCGGGGATCCCGGGGGTCCCAGCAGGTAGGGGGATCCCCCTCCCGGAGTGGGGAAGGGGCAGAGGGTGCCCCGGAGCCCCTCCCTGGGGGGCGGAGGGGTCTGGGGGGCGCTCCCGTCCTGCCCCCAAAGGAGAGCCGAGCGCGCCTCCCTTCCAGCCCTGGAGCCCCTGGGCTGCAACGCTGCTCCGATCCGGGGCTGGTTTGGTTTCTCCATCCCCTTTGGCAAAGGACTGGGGGTCTCTGAGCACGTGCAGAGTGCAGCTCCCAATCTTCCCGCGGAACACCCCTCCCCCCCGTCCCGTTCCTCCGCTTCGTGGAGTTTGACGGAAGGGGGAGAGGGGACTGGTTACCCCTGAGCACGTGCAGAGTCCGAGTGCGCGCGCTTGTCTTTTATATACAGACATATCACAAGAGTTCGTTGCCGCTTGATCTGTAGACAGAAGGGCGGCAGCAGCAACCTCTGGATGGTTTGCACAGAAATGAACAACAACATCCTAGAATCATGGAACGGTATAGCTGGAAGGGATCCTGAGGGTCATCTAGTCCAACCCCCTGTAACGCAGGGGTTTTGTTTTTGTCCGACGTGGGGCTCGAACCCCCAGCTCTGAGATCTGTCAAGCAGAAGAATGAGCAGCGATAATCTGAGACTTTCAAAAAGTGGGAGTAGCAAGAGATTAAAACTCCTTTATAAACGAGGAGGAGCAGTGCCTCTGAGCATGTACGGAGGACCAAGGGGTTAGGGGTAAGCCCCTTTGTGGTCTGCGACTGGAGAATGCTGCTTTGCACACACACAAGCAACCCAGGTTCCATCGCCAGTTTAAAAAATATCAATATCGTGGAAGCAACCCCTCTCCCCGTGTTTGGACGGTCCAAAGAAACCCAGAGGGGCTGCCAGGCTGGCAATGCCCCCTGTGCCTGGCTTGGTACATTCCCAGCCCTGTGCACTGGTGCTGCTTTTGCACTCAGCTCCCTTCCACTTCTGGGCTTTTCCCCGTTTGGGGCACCCAGTTGGCCCCTGGGGCGGGGCTCTCGCAGTGCCAGGGTTGGACTGGATGACCCTCGGGATCCCCTTCCAATCCAGCGGTTCTGAGAATTTAAACTGCGCTTCTCTTTCCTGCCTTGAATCCGCAGCCCGCCATGGCGACGCCGGCCAACGTGCAGAGTGCCAGCAAGACCTGGGAGCTCAGCCTGTACGAACTTCACCGGACGCCCCAGGTGAGGAGGAGGAAGAGGAGGAAGAGGAGCAGGCCTGGCGCCAGGGGGGTGGGCCTGGGTTTGGGGCAGGGGCCACGAGGGACCTTGGAAGAGCCCCCTTTCTCTTGATCTTCCCCACCCCTCAAATATCCGGGTCTGGTGGGAAGATCTTCTAAGTCCCTCTCCAGGTCCCAGATTTAAGGGATCACAAATTCAGTAGCTGTGGCGGTGGGAGTTTTTGTAATTTATTTTTTAAAAATTGCCTTCAGTTTGTTTCCTTTTAGGTATTTATTTGTACTTTGCTAGAGGAATAAACACAATTCACAGGGCATCTTGTGCTAACGTGCTTCCTGCTAAGAAGTTGTCTTCCTTCTTACCTTTAAGAGTTTCTACACCGTTTAATAAGTTGTATGCTGTCCTGGGCATTTGTGTGTAGGAAATCAACAAAGACTCTCTGACTTGTCCAAATCCTTTGTTTATATTTATTTCTCTCTGCACTGCTGTTTTGGTTTTTTTACTCATTCTCCATTGCATTTTTGCGCTTGTGCTGATCGTTTCCATGCTGTCCGCTGCCTGGAGATTTTGGAAGCATTAAATTAAGTGGTTCACAAATGCTTTGGCATGAATAGATTCATAATAATAGATTCTCAAGCTTTTCCAGCAAAAAACCTGGGGTGGTTGCCGGTTGGCTTCTGGAATCACAGGATCGTAGAGTTGGAATCTCATCTGAAACGTCGCTGACAGGCGGCCAAAGAACTGTAGAATTGTTGAGCTGGGAGGGGGACCCCAACGGTCATCTAGCTCAACCCGCTGCAAGGCCGGCCCCGCTCCCATTTTGCTCCCTGGAAGCTGAGTGAGGAAGCTCTCTCTTTTTCAGGAGGCCGTGATGGACGGGACGGAGATTGCCGTCTCCCCGCGAAGCCTCCACAGCGAGCTGATGTGCCCCATCTGCCTGGACATGCTCAAGCACACCATGACCACCAAGGAGTGCCTGCACCGGTTCTGCTCCGACTGCATCGTGACGGCCCTGCGGAGCGGGTGCGTGGGGCCCGGGGGGTGGCATTCAGGGGGGCTGGCAGAGAGGCGGGTCCCAGAAAGGCCCATCCTGAGTTCCCGCAAGTGAGCTGGTCCCAAGCTGTCCGGGGCTAGTGGCAAATCTGGCCCAACTACAAATGGGTACCTGGTCCGAAATCCATGATCCCTATGCGGCCCAGGACCCACGTACCTACGGGACCGCCTCTCCTGGTATGCCCCGCGGAGGACCTTAAGGTCCACAAATAACAACATTTTGGAGGTCCCAATCTGCAAGATGGTTAGCTTGGTCTCAACTAGGGCCAGGGCCTTTTCAGTACTGGCCCCGACTTGGTGGAACGCTCTGCCCCAAGAGACCAGGGCCCTGCGGGATTTGACATCTTTCTGCAGGGCCTGCAAGACAGAGCTGTTCCGACCGGCCTTTGGTTTGGACTCAGTCTGACCCTTGTGTTTCCCTCCCCTTATGGTCTTGATTTATTGACTACTTTTAAAATGAGGCTGCATTCTAAATTGCATTTTAACCTGTATTTTGAATTGGTCCCCCCCTCCCATATAATGTTTTTTACTGTGATTTTATTGGTGTTAGCCGCCCTGAGCCCAGCTCTGGCCAGGGAGAGCGGGGCATAAATAAAATTTATCATTATTATGATTATGATTATTATGACTGACCATTGCATTTTTCTTGAAGCAACAGTTAAAAAATATATACAGCCGTACCTCAGGTTACAGACACTTCAGGTTGCATTTTTTCGGGTTGCGGACTGCCAAAACCCGGAAGTACCGAAACGGGTTACTTCCAGGTTTCGGTGGTCGCGCATGAATCGCAACCCGCATGTGCACAGACGCGCACGAATCGCAACCTGAGCGTCCACTGTAAATTAAAACTTAATCACTAACATATAACTGAAAATTACCATTTAAGGCCTTCATTATTATGATAGCACAGCTTGTACCCCAAGTTTTATGGCAATCGCACAGAATTTGGCCACCCTTAGCGTGACCTCAGGATCCTTGTCCTACCAGGGATTTTAGACGTTGAAGTTCGGATTCATTTGGAGATTTTTGCATAAATACCGAGCGTATATCCTCGTAGAAATGGCAGCATAACAAGGCATGAGAGACAGTTTCTACCTCCATCCAGCCGCAGGGGCAGACTCGTTCCGCGTATTATGGTTTACCCTCGAGTCTGCCCTGCAATAAGGCAGATGGCAGCACGTTGAATCTAGCGAGGGTAAAGGACCGTCTGTATTTGGGTATTTGTAATTTTGACAAATAATTTGCTGGGATAAATCCTCTCCCATTATCTTTTATTGCCGGGTGTTTATTCATCTCACTCACGGGGCATGAAGCAATGGGAAGCAGCAGCTCTTACCGCCAGAAAGTTTTTTCCTGATGTTGTGTCATAACAACAACAACAATAATAAATTTTATTTATACCCCACCCTCCCCAGCCAAGACCGGGCTCAGGGCGGCTAACACAAAATATAAAAACAATTGATTAGAATACAGCTTAAAAAACAAGATTAAATACAACATTAAAACATTAAAATGCAGCCTCATTTCAGTGGAACTCAATCAAAAACTTTTTTTGGGATAAAAACGTCAAGTCTTCACCAAGGCTAACTATCCAGACTGGTCCTACATGGGCCAGAAAAAAGCCAGGGAAGTCCCCAAATAGGAGTTCCATCACAGAAGGAGAAAGGAAAAAAAAACCCAAAAAAAAACCCTTTCTTGTAACTTGAAGCCACGGGTTCGAGTCCTGCCCTCTCTAAAGCAAGGAGTTCCAAGCGCTTCAGCCCCACAACCCTTTCCTGCTGCTTCTTCGCGCTCGGCCCGCACCTTGATTTCGGTTTCCCGGTTTCCTCCACCGCAGGAACAAGGAGTGCCCGACCTGCCGCAAGAAGCTGGTCTCCAAGCGCTCCCTGCGCCCCGACCCGAACTTTGACGCCCTCATCTCCAAGATCTACCCCAGCCGGGATGAGTATGAGGCGCACCAAGACCGCGTCCTGGCCAAGCTCAACCGCCTGCACAACCAGCAGGCCCTGCGCAGCAGCATGGAGGAGGGGCTCAAGATGCAGGCCATGAACAGGTACGGGGGCTCAGGAAGGGGGGGATCTCCTGCCCTGACCCCAAGAGAGATCCACTTCCTCTCAAGATTCACAGCCAGATCCCTTTCGGATCTCCTCTGGGTCTTCCCAGCGCAACCTTGCTATTTGGGACCACATGTCTGGAGGCGCTTGGAGGATGGATGGCGGCTAACAGATTGAGATTGAATCCTGACAAGACAGAAGTACTATTTTGGGGGGACAGGGAGCAGGCAGGTGTGGGGGCCTCCCTGGTCCTAAATGGGGTAACTGTGCCCCTGAAGGACCAGGTGCGCAGCCTGGGAGTCATTTTGGACTCACCGCTGTCCATGGAGGCACAGGTCAATTCTGTGTCCAGGGCAGCTGTTTACCAGCTCCATCTGGTACGCAGGATGAGACCCTACCTGCCCGCAGACTGTCTCACCAGAGTGGTGCATGCTCTGGTTATCTCCCGCTTGGACTACTGCAATGCGCTCTATGTGGGGCTACCTTTGAAGGTGACCTGGAAACTGCAACTAATCCAGAATGAGGAAGCTAGAATGGTGACTGGGAGTGGCCGCTGGGACCACATAACACCGGTCTTGAAAGACCTACACTGGCTCCCAGTATGTTTCCGAGCGCAATTCAAAGTGTTGGTGCTGACCTTTAAAGCCCTAAACAGCCTCAGCCCAGTATACCTGAAGGAGCGTCTTCACCCCCATCGTTCTGCCCGGACACTGAGGTCCAGCGCCGAGGGCCTTCTGGCGGTTCCCTTGCTGCGAGAAGTGAGGTTACAGGGAACCAGGCAGAGGGCCTTCTCGGTGGTGGCACCCGCCCTGTGGAACACCCTCCCATCAGATGTCAAAGAGAAAAAGAACTACCAGACTTTTAGAAGACATCTGAAGGCAGCCCTGTTTAGGGAAGCCTTTAATGTTTAATAGCTTATTGTATTTTAGTGTTCTCTTGAAAGCCACCCAGAGTGGCTGGGGAAACCCAGCCAGATGTGCAGGGTATTATTATTATTATTATTATTACTATTATTATTATGTCTGCTTTTACAAAATCTACTGGCACATTTGGAAAGCTAAACAGGGTCCAGTTTGGTTTCAGATTGGATTGGGGGGTGGCTGTGTGTTGAGATCCCTGCTTTATAGGGGGTTGGAGTAGATGACCTTCTGGGTCCCTTCCAACTCTACAATTCCATGATTCTATAGGAATCCAAAAGCAGCTGGAACCTCCCCCCCCCTTTTTTTTTACAGAAACGGATGGAATTTGCAAGCTCGTTTATTTATTTATTTCATTTACCATTTATATCTTCCGAAAGGAGCTCCAGAGGGTGGGGCAGAGGGATCAGAATGGCAAAAACAATTCCGATTAAAACGCCATAAATAAACGCGTAGAAACAATTCAGCATTTCAGACATCCGGAATAATTTAAAAGCAACCCCACCTGATTTTGAGGTTGACACCCTGCAGGCGGATTCTGAAGCCAGCTGCTGGCAGGATGGCAGAGTAGATGGGGGGGGCATATATTTAATTTCATTTAGCAGGATCTATGTGCTGCTTAATGAATAAAAGTCTCTTCATGCAATAGTATGGCGCATTCACTAAAAATAAAAAACCAGTGGCAGGGAGTAAACCGGGCAAAGCTGACAATAATATTATGAAAAGAGAGACTAAAAGCAAAAGACACGCAAATTTCAGCAATTGCCATAGGGGATGGTTTTTTTAAATGCCGTGCAGATTATTTCTTTGTTCACGTTCATAAATGCGTAAGTATATCCTCCAGAAAAAACAATTCCCAGGGTGTCTGGAGTGAAGATTATTAGGTGTGTTTTCTGCCAAGAAACTCGACTTCTTCTCTTCTGACTGCAAATGGCTAGATTTTAATATTTTTTCTGCTGAGGCCACTTTCCCTGGGATCTAGTGGTGAAAGGAGGTGCTTAGGAAATCTAATAATAGAGGATTTATTATTATTATTATTATTATTATTATTATTATTATTATTACCCAGACATGTAGAATCATGGGATGGTAGACTTAGAAGGCACACCAGGGTTCATCTAGTCTGACCCCCTTCGATACAGGAATGTCAGCTAGCAACAGCAGCAGCAGTAATAAGTATTCATAGATTTCTTTAAAGGCGTTGTAAGCCGGTAGATGTGGTGATGTTTTGATTGTAATTACCTGTATTCTTAATCTTGTGTGTGTGTGTGTGTGTGTGTGTGTGTGTGTGCATTTAATAGCTTTTTCTCTACTGCCTTTTATATGTTTTTCAGCTGTTTCTATCTTACCTTTAAGCTGCCCTGAGTCCAGTCTGGGGAAGAAAAATACATATAATTAATAATAATGCAAGATTAATAACATGCAAGAGAAATCCTTGTTGTCCTTTTGCCATACTTTCTTCTTCCAACCGGCTTTGGGGAATCCTATAAACCTGTGTCCTTTAATAGACCATATATTTATCCTTTTAATGCTTAGTTGTTTTTTAACGGCTACTCTCCCACCCCAATGTTTTTTTAGTTCTTTCTGCTTCAGGTTTGAGCTGCCCTGAGTCCCTGCCAGGGAAAGAGGCGGCATAGAAACAAACATAACCATAACTGTACAGTGGAATCATGAGGCAGGGAGTTCCGCCGGAGCTTTGGCTAGTTTTATTCAGTTGGTGTGTGACGCTCCCGCCTCTTTCCTCCCGCCTCCAGGGGGCAGCGTGCCCGGAAGCACCCCCAAGAGTCGGACAACACCACCTTCAGCGGGGCGGAGGACAACTGCGACAGCCGCTCCCACCTCAGCAACGCCTCGGCCCCCAGCCAGATCGAGGCCGGGCCAAGCTGCAAGCGCTCACGGGCCTCGGACGAGTCGTGCGCCGAGCCAGAGACCTCGCACGAGGGGGGCCGCCGGAGCCCCGAGCCCGGCAGCAGCGAGATCGAGCTGGTCTTCCAGCCTCACCCTGTCCTGGTGGAGAAGGGAGCCTATGCGCAGACCAGGTGAGCGGGGGGCAGTGGGGACCCTCTTGACCCGTCCAGGGGGGCTCACAAGCACACCCACCCCAGTAGGAGGCCACCTTGGGCGCTGGGGAAGGTTGCCGGGGGGTCGTTGGGCTGGAAGGGACCCCCGGGGGTTATGCCGGTGACTGGGGAAGCCCCGCCAGATGGGTGGGGAAATCCGACGGCAAAAAACAAGGACAGCAGCCGGGAATAGCAGAGCAAAAGATCAGCCAGTAGGCTTGGTCTTGATTGAAGACTGTCGCGACAGGACTCCCACCTGCCACCAGGTGGAACAAGATGGAAGCCCCCAACAAAAGAGAACCCAAACTTTTATTAGCTGCTCATCCCCATGTTTAGGGGGATGTGGGTGGCGCTGTGGGTTAAACCACAGAGCCTAAGACTTGCCGATCAGAAGGTCGGCAGTTCGAATCCCCGCGACGGGGTGAGCTCCCGTTGCTCGGTCCCTGCTCCTGCCAACCTAGCAGTTCGAAAGCACATCAAAGTGCAAGTAGATAAATAGGTACCGCTCCAGCGGGAAGGTAAATGCCGTTTCCGTGCACTGCTCTGGTTCGCCAGAAGCGGCTTAGTCATGCTGGCCACATGACCCGGAAGCTGTACGCCTGCTCCCTCGGCCAATAAAGCGAGATGAGCGCCACAACCCCAGAGTCGGTCACGACTGGACCTAATGGTCAGGGATCCCTTTATCTTTTAATCCCCATGTTAAAGGTAAAGGTACCCCTGCCTGTACGGGCCAGTCTTGACAGACTCTAGGGTTGTGTGCCCATCTCACTCAAGAGGCCGGGGGCCAGCGCTGTCCGCAGACACTTCCGGGTCACGTGGCCAGCGTGACATCGCTGCTCTGGTGAACCAGAGCCGCACACGGAAACGCCGTTTACCTTCCCGCTAGAAAGCAGTCCCTATTTATCTACTTGCACCCGGGAGTGCTTTCGAACTGCTAGGTTGGCAGGCGCTGGGACGTGCGTGGCGCTGTGGGTAAAAGCCTCAGCGCCTAGGGCTTGCCGATCGAAAGGTCGGCGGTTCGAATCCCCGCAGCGGGGTGCGCTCCCATTGTTCGGTCCCAGCGCCTGCCAACCTAGCAATCCCCATGTTACACCCCCCCCCCAAACTACATCACTCATACATCACGGTTACATCATGAAAGGGGAGGTCTGGTGGCAGTAATCTGAGCATCCTGGACCCTGCCCCATGGTTCCCCTTGCTCTCCACCAAACACCCATCAAGTGTAACAAAAAAAGATATTTACTTTTCCCTGTTTCCCAGCCAAGTTAATCACACCCTTTTCTCTTCATCTGGGTTTGTTATTTCTGGAATGGCTACCTGTCTGGCACTCAGGTATCAGGATGCCAGGGATTCTCCCTCAGGCGGAGGGGCTGCTGAGTAGCTGAGCTCACCTGTCTAGATGAATTTCTGAAGTTTTCCCAGTGAGCCAGTACATAGATGCATTTATCAGTGAATTCTTACACTTGGTATCGTGCAGCAAAAGCCCTTTGAATAGATAGGAAGAAACTGTGGCAAAGTGTTTTGTGGGGACACGTCACAAAAGTCACAAAAGTGATGGTGCTGATTTTGGTAGTGGGCTGCATGTGCATGATATCTGCTGGAGGGGCAACCCCCCAACCTATACATGAATTCCTGCAACAGGTATAAATAAATTATTATTATTATTATTATTATTATTATTATTATTATTATTATTCTTCAGCCCAACGCCCAGCCTCTTGTTCCAGCATCTCCAAGGATGGGAAGCCCACCGCCGAGTCCTAAGACCCCCCCACTCCACCCCCACCTTCCTCCCCGCACCCTAACTCTGCCTCTCCCTCCCTGCCAGGTACGTCAAGACCACGGCCAACGCCACGGTGGACCACCTCTCCAAATACCTGGCCCTGCGCATCGCTCTGGAAGAGGCTCCGGGGGCCGGGTCAGAAGCCCCCGCCCTGGAGGACGTCAGCGAGAAGCAGTACACCATCTACATCACCACGGCCGGGGGGGCCTTCACGGTAACAGCCGTGGGGGGGGTGCCGGACATTGACGAGGAGGGTCTCCCCCCAGCCCCAAGGGATGAAGGGTGCCACACCCCACAAGCCGAGAGGAGGTAGAGGGGTTCTGGGTTCGAGACCCTGAAACGGAACCGGTTGCTGCCTGGCTGGGCTGGTTGAACTTCCCTGGGGGAGGAGCTTTTTTCGGGGGGGGGGTCCCCAGGATCAGGGTTTTCCTTCTCCTAGACGGGCTACTTTATTTGATACGATGCAATAAGAGCACAGAAATATATTTCGCAGTTAATCCGTATACTGTTTGCTTGCTGAAAGGGCTTCTAAGCTGTTTGCCGGGGTAAAGATCAAATGGTGCGTCGTTCAAATCCACGACGGGAGGACGGCTCCGTCCGAGCCTTAAAATAAACGGGGGCTGCAAAGATCGTTTGCACTGTCAAGGGTCATCTAGCCCAACCTGCTGCCATTTGCCCAGCACGGCACTCGAACCCAGAACCCTGAGATTAAGAGTCTCTTGCTCTACCCACCGAGTTGTCCCAGGTCCACATAAAGTGTAAAAAGTAATGGGGTTAAAAGACAAAAATGAAAAGGAAGCTGTAGGCTTATTTTATTTTTATTTTATTTCTATCTTTATTTTATTTTTATCATTTTCCTTTTTCCCTTTTTGTCTTTCTCTCCTCTTTCACTCCATTTATTAACATTATTATTATTATTATTATTATTATTATTATTATTAATTAGACTAATTCGGTTTTCATTGTTTCATATGAGATATACCGTATTTTTCGCTCTATAGGACGCACCTTGTTTTAGAGGGGGAGAACAGGGAAAAATTCTCCTCCTCTCTGCCCAGCGCCCCTTCAGCGAAGCGACAGGAGAAGCGGAGCCCCTTCCATTTCTCCTGCTGCTTCACTGAAGGGGCGCTGGGCAGAGAGGGGGAGATTTTTTTTTTCTTGTTCTTCCCCCTCTAAAACAAGGTGCCATTCAAGGTGCGTTCGGCCGCCTTCAGGCGGCTACCTGGGAAGCCTGGAGAGCGAGTGCGTGAGTGCGCCGACCCCTCTCGCTCTCCAGGCTTCAGCTTCCTTTCGACCAGCTCTTTGGGGCTGGCGGGGAAGCCCAGAGCTATGGCTTCTATAGCCCCTCGCACCCTCTCCCGGCTGGTGAGGTGGCGCGTGGCTATGGCAATACCCCCACCTCCCACAAAAGCCCACAGGAGCCGCGCACCCTTTAAGGAGCGCGCGGCTGCTGTGGGCTTTTCTACGAGGAGGGAGAAGGGACTGACTGGCCGCGTCAGTCCCTCCTGGGGAAAAGCCCGCAAGAGCCGCACGGAGCTTGTGTGTGGCTTTTGGGGGCTTTTCCTGCCTGCCTCCCCCCTGCATTCGCTCCATAGGGCGCACACACATTTCCCCTTCATTTTTGGAGGGGAAAAAGTGCATCCTATAGAGCGAAAAATACGGGATATACAAGAAGCTCCAGGTGAGGCCGAACGTTTGCCTAAGCAGTTTTCTGTTCAGCCGCCGGCGGGTTGCCAGTGCAGATGGGGGGATCTCCTATTTTGCCAATCTCTTTATTTTGGTGGTGGGAAATACCGTATTTTTCGCTCGATAACACGCACCTGACCATAACACGCACATAATTTTGAGAGGAGGAAAACAAGAAAAAAAAATTCTGAATGAAACAGTGGATGTATCATTTTTGTGCTTCATGCTGTGGCCACAGACATGTGATTTGATGGTGAGTTTGGGGTAGCCCAATGCAAAAATCCTGAGAATCCATGTGGATCTGTGCTTTGTAACCACGTTTTTGCACCATTGCAGCCCCAGGCAACAGTGGGTGCGTGATTTTTTTTGGTGCAGGCTGTAGCCATGGATATGCTATGTGATCTGATGTTGAATTTGGGCTGACCCTATGCAAAGATCCTGAGGATCCATGTGGATCCATGCTTTGTAACCACGTTTTTGTACCATTGCAGCCCCAGGCAACAGTGGGTGCGTGATTTTTTTTTGGTGCAGGCTGTAGCCATGGATATGCTATGTGATCTGATGTTGAATTTGGGCTGACCCAATGCAAAGATCCTGAGGATCCATGCTTTGTAACCACGTTTTAAGTGGGGAGGGAAGGAAAAACAGAAGGGACAAGGAGCACCCAGAGGGGTGTGCAGAGAAGCAGCTGGCTAAGAATGCAGGGGAGGAGTTTAACGGGGTGGGGGGGAGGAAAGGAAGGCAAAAGTTCCCCAGCCACCCACCCAAGCCAGCCAGCTAGCTAGCTCTCTCTCTCCCCCCCCCCCACCTGCATGTTGCCTGCGAGTCCCTAGACGCAGCAGCAGCAGCACCGGAGCACGGAGAGGAATTACGGTAGAAGGAAAGACCTCTGCTTTCCCCTCTCCTTGCCTGGAGGGGAGGGGTTTTCTCTGCTCTTTGTTCCGTTTGAGCAAACACAGTAACGAAACAGAAGCGGGTGGGCAGTAAGACCCTGAGGCAGAATGCAGGAAAGCAACAGCTTTCTCTCTCGGGAGGCTCGAACACACGTGTGGCTGCCTGCAATCAGTTTACCACACCGAGAATGAAGATAAACTGGTAAAATAAGGGGACTGGGTTAAAGCTAAAGGGAAAACCTCAAAGATCCCTCAAGAACAAGGCAGGGGTTCAGGGCTCCCAAAGCCGAGCTGCAGCCTTAGAAGGGAAAAATGGGGCTTTCGGAGGTGGTTTTTACTGCCCCGCTGCTTCCAATTTTTTAAAAGGCAAATTGCAGGAGAAGATGCAGCAGTCCGTCACTCTCTCACTCCCTCCAAGCACCCACGCTAGCGAACAAACACACAGGCAACCACACACTCACAAAGCACACACACTAGCAAACACACAATCGCGCTGCAGAGTGGCCAAGCCTCCTAGCAAGCACTTCCCTGGCTTCTGCTGACCGCAACGTCGGCTCCAGGGACCACACATTCGCTCAATAACACGCATAGACATTTCCCCTTACTTTTTAGGAGAAGAAATCTGCGTGTTATAGAGGGAAAAATACGGTAATTTTTATTTGCAGAATTAGAACATTACAAAACACGTATCCATATTTAGAGATTTCTCTGAATTCCCTGGGTCCTTTCGCCAACCTTTCCAACTGCATATTACCCCATAAAATCCATGCTTTATATCTCTCCGTCTTGCCCATGATAATTACATTTCGCCAATCTCATTATGTTGCGAACCCCCCCTAGATCTGCAGGCACAGGGCGGCATGCAGAGTTAATAAAGAAAATAAAAAACAAATGTTTCTGCGGGGAAACGGCCTGCCCCACTGCAAGCTGATAGCCATAGCTGGCCGCTTTTCCCTTTCCTTGCGAGGAATCCTATTCAGTATAAGGGAATTTCCCTTAAAAAAAGGGAAACGTTGACAGCTATGCTGATAGCCCCCCGCCCGTCTGTGGTGAAAGGGGGCAGGGGGGGGGCTTCTCTTCTGCACTCCCAACGCCGCCGCCTCTCCTTTTTCCCACAGACCCTGAACGGATCCGTCACTTTGGAGCTGGTGAACGAGAAGTACTGGAAACTGAGCAAGCCCCTTGAGCTGTACTATGCCCCCACCAAGGAGCAGAAATGAGGGCCGAGACCCCCCCACAAGACTGTTGGGCTAACAGCAAAAGAGGGGGGCACCGGCATGGCCCCCCGCCACGGGGACTCAGACAAGGAAGACGAGGAGGAGGAGGAAGGAGATGAAAGCGCTTTGCAAGGGGTGGGGGGGTGCCGAAATGGCTGAAACTGCTCCCCCCCCACTCCACCGCTTCCGGCACACTTAGCCCCCCCACCCAGAAAAGACTGATGCCCCCCCCCCAAGAAGGCTGGGGGTGGGTGAGTGCGATGGCATCCCAGCCCTGTTTTGGCTTCTTCAAAGGACGGGTGCCCCCGCCCTGAGCAGGGATGATGGGGGGGGCGCCTTGCAATGTTGGGGGGCAAGATGGGGTGCTGCTGCTGCTGCTGCTTGGACCAGATGTTTCTCTCTGGCCTTTTTACAGCTGTTATCTCTCCCCCCCCTTTTGTGGAATTTAATTCATCAAGGAGTTTTTTAGCCTCTTTGAAAGACTGGAGCCTCTCTCTCTCTCTCTCTCACTAGGAGGTGGGGCAGGGCCAGGTGGGCATGCAGACCCCACAATCCCAAAATTGTAGGTCTGCAAGGGAACCCCAGAGGTCCTCTAGTCCCACCCCGTGCAATCCAGGAGTATCAGCTAAAGCATCCATGCCAGCTGGCACTAATAATACATGGAATGTAATTTAGTTAACCCATTAAGAGAGGAGCCTGGCATTACTTCTGACCTCAGTTGTGGACCTGGAAGGGAACCCCAGAGGTCATCTAGCCCAGCCCCGCGCAATGCAGGAATATGCAGCTGTTCCTTATGGGGCTGGAACCTGCCACCTTGGTGTGTCTCCCTTGAAAGCCTGTGCCTTACCTGGGCGGTTGGAGCCCCTGGCCCTTCCTCGTAATCCGGCAGGTATCTGCCGTGTGAGGTTTTGAGCAAAGGGCCCTCCTCACCCCTTCTCTCTCTCGGGCCTCTGGCAAACCCCGGGAAATCTCAAGTTGCTAGATCTCAAGGAACTGGATTTCCCCCCCCCCTTCCTGTGCTCACTACTCCAAAAAGACCAGGGGTGTTTTGTTGCCACAAACTAAGAGGTATAGCCAGATCAATAACAACACAACACAGCCGACGAGTCCCTTTTTTTGTGTGTCTCCACGTGGGTGGCGCTGTGGGTTAAACCACAGAGCCTAGGGCTTGCCGATCAGAAGGTCGGCGGTTCGAATCCCCGCGACGGGGTGAGCTGGCCACATGACCCGGAAGCTGTATGCCGGCTCCCTTGGCCAGGAAAGCGAGATGAGCGCCGCAACCCCAGAGTCGGTCATGACTGGACCTAATGGTCAGGGGTCCCTTTACCTTTACCCTAAATGCTGTGTTAAGGTGTGGAAAACTGCAGTTTAACTCTGCAATGATTTGTAAAGGCAGCTGTGTTGGACACCTGCTTGGAAGAGCGAAGGGTCCGGCAGGGACGCAGCCCTGTGGCTCAGGGACAGGACAGAACGAAGGCCCCGGGTTCAAACTCTATCACAGACCTCAACACACACTCGGTGCTTATGAGCTTAGCAGCCGCAAAGAAACATTTGTCCCCCTCAAAAAAAGAATATTTTAAAAGCTGAGCTGCCCGTTTGGTTCCGGAAACGGCTCTGGGACTCCTTTAAAAAAAAACCCTTCTGCTTAGGAAAGGCAGCAGGATGCAGTTGGTTGAGGGTGGGGTGGAGGCCTCCGTAGCTCAGTGGTTAGAGCACTGGGAGGTTCTGGGTTCAAATCCTGCTGGTGGCATCTCCAAGCAGGGCTGCCGAAAGCACAAAACTCGCCTGGAATTCTGGAGTCAGAATTGGCTGCCAGTCAGAGTGGGCAGCACTGGGCGGCAAGGACCCCGAAGGCAAAGAGAGAAACCACAAAGCGCGTCCGAAGGCATTTTGCCCTTTATTTTTGTGTCAACAAATTTCCTTTAAAAAATGAAGCCCGAACGCACGACGGCAGGCAGGTTAGGAAGGGGAGGGCGGAAGGTCCTTGGAGAAAGGGGCTCGCTTTGCGAGGGCAGAGTTGGAAGGGACCTCCAGGGGCCATCTAGACGAACCCTCTGCAATGCAGGAAGCGCAGCTTTAGCAAAAGCAAGTAAGAAATGGTTTGAATGCAAAGTCCTCTTTTGCAGGAAAATCTTGTCCCACACACAGGAAGGTGAACCCTCTGAACCCGCACCCGGGACCTTTGCATTCTCCTTAGTTTTTATTTTAAAGAAAAGTCTTAATAAACGCATATATACAAATGTGCACACCTCTCTTTAAAAACCTGGAGAAAAGGAGCCCCACGGGTGGATTAAAAAGAGTTCCTCTCCCACAGAATCAAAGAATTGTACGGCTGGGACCCCCAGCGGTCATCTAGCCCAACCCCCGTCTCCCCGTGTAACCAATGACAGCCAAGGGGAATAGAGGAGGGGCATCTTTGCACAATGCGCTGCAGCGGGTTGGTCTAGAGAACCTCCCGGGGTCCCAGCCCCACAGTTCTGTGGTTCCAATCAGCTGCTGCAAAGGAGGAGGCAGCGACTTAGACGGGTGAGAGAAATTAGCAGAGGAGGAGGCAGGGTGTGGGGAGGGTGCTGGGCTCAACAGGCCCCCTTGGGGCTTCGGGGTGGGGGTCTCTGGAGGGTCTTCGAAGGAGCAGCAAGGCCAGGGTTGGTGACTTCCCTTTTGATGGTTTAGGGTCTCCCCAACGGATCCAGGATGAAATCGCCGCCGAAGGAGTTTGGGGAGAGGCGTCTTCAGAGTCAGGCTAGCGACCTGCGGAAAGGGGGGGTGGAGTTTAGAAGTTCATGGCGGGGGGGAGTAAATGCTTTTTTCTGTTTGGCGACCCCCCCCCTTTGTGGTTCTGCCTCTGTGCCAAGCCAAGCCCCCCCTCCTATCACATCTGGGGAGCACCCTGGTATAACATCTGGCTGTATAGTCCTCCCTGGTAGGGTTGGTGTGGGAGACAGAGTGGTGTAATAATAATAATAATAATTTTTATTTATACCTCGCCCTTCCCGGTTTTAAAAACCGGGCTGAGGGCAGCTAACAACAAATTTAAAACACTTAATTGGAAAAGCAGCATAAAATTCAGTGTAAAAACATGAATAACGATAAAATTCAAAGTTGAGAAAGTTAGGACCTGCGAGAGACAAGGGTTGGAATCCCCACACAGCTGTGTAATTCAGAGGGTGACCTGGGGGGGCCACAATCTCTACCTCACAGGGTTGTTGTACGGGGCAAAATGGGGGAGGGGGAGACTCCTGTGTGCTGCTATAAATGCAATAGGGAGCGGAGGGCAGGAGAGATTTCCGAAAAGCTTTTCACTTTGCTGACTCTGAAAGCGGGGGACCCGAGTGGACCCGATCCTTGGAATAATTGGAGGGTGGGAGACTTGAAGGCTGGCTGTGGGATCTTAGCTGGAAGGGCGACCCCTGCCCTTTCCCCTCCAAACAACTGCCCCAACCCTTAAAAAATTACCCCGATGCTCAGCCAGAATTTGTCGTCCTATGAACGCGAGTGGAGCCTGCAGGATCAGGCCAAAGACCGTTGCAAGGCGGCCCAAGTTGGCTTCCTGTGGCAGGTAGTTCCACAGTTTAACTAAGCGGGAGGGAGGGAGGGAGGGAAGGGACTCTTACCATTTGGGTAGGTGCTGCCATCAATGGGGGCGTAGCCTGGAAGTGGGGAGAGAAAGGGGGAGTCAGCAAAAAGAACGGCCCCCACCCAGAGGAAAACCCCACCCAACCACCCATCTGAGGGGTCACCCATCAATGGGGCCCAAGCTGATGAGAGCTCAGAGGTTTCAGTGCATAACTCTTAAGGAGTCGGCAAAAAGCGGTGTATAAATCTTAAGGAATTGGCAAAAAGCAGGTTATAAATCTTAAGGAATCGGCAAAAAGCAGTGTATAAATCTTAAGGAGTCAGCAAAAAGCAGGTTATAAATCTTAAGGAATCGGCAAAAAGCAGGTTATAAATCTTAAGAATCGGCAAAAAGCAGTGTATAAATCTTAAGGAATCGGCAAAAAGCAGTGTATAAATCTTAAGGAATCGGCAAAAAGCAGGTTATAAATCTTAAGGAATCGGCAAAAAAGCAGTGTATAAATCTTAAGGAATCGGCAAAAAGCAGTGTATAAATCTTAAGGAGTCAGCAAAAAGCAGGTTATAAATCTTAAGGAATCGGCAAAAAGCAGGTTATAAATCTTAAGGAATCGGCAAAAAGCAGTGTATAAATCTTAAGGAATCGGCAAAAAGCAGTGTATAAATCTTAAGGAATCGGCAAAAAGCAGTGTATAAATCTTAAGGAATCGGCAAAAAGCAGTGTATAAATCTTAAGGAGTCAGCAAAAAGCAGGTTATAAATCTTAAGGAATCGGCAAAAAGCAGGTTATAAATCTTAAGGAGTCGGCAAAAAGCAGGTTATAAATCTTAAGGAATCGGCAAAAAGCGGTGTATAAATCTTAAGGAGTTGGCAAAAAGCGGTGTATAAATCTTAAGGAATCGGCAAAAAGCAAAACCCCATCCCCCAGCTCATGTTCTCCTCTGGCCCATACCTTCGGGGAATCTCCTCTTCCAAAGGACGGTGCCCACGGCAAGGAGAAGTATGCCGACCCCCAGCATGGCTGCCGAGACCCCCACTTTCCACCGGAGGTCCAGAGCCAGGCCTGGCGCTGCGGGAGAGACAGATAGGGCAGGGAATTGTTACTGCTTGGATCTGTGGGGCTGGGGCTGCCACCTAACCCCCGTCCTGACTTCGTAAGGAATCAGCATTTCAGTGTGGCAGCTCCTGAATCCTGTGGAACTCCCTGCCTCTTGATAACAGGCGCCTGCTAAAAAGCATTCTTGTTTCTGCAGATGTGGGTGGGTGTTTCAGTCTGCTTATCACTCATCACGAATTTAAAAGTTTTTACTTATTGTTCTATTTTTTCCTTCCTTCGGGTTTTTAAAGCAGAGGTTGGTTGGCCGCCTGGCAGGGAAGCTTCAGCTGACATTCTTGGGGGTTGGACTAGATGACCCTCGGAGTCCCTTCCAATTCTATGATTCTTACTAACTGCTTGGAGTCGACCCCGTCCCCCCAAAAAGCGGCGTATAAATTTAATGAAATAAATAAACGAGGCCCCTGAAACAGCAGGACGAAATGTTTCCCCTTTTGAGAAGAGAGGGTCTGGCCTGGGCTCAGTGGCAGGACACCTGCTTGGAGTGCAGAAGGAGAGGCAGTGCTGCCAGTCTGTGCGGACAAGGCTCAGCTAGATCATAGAATCCTAGGCTTGTGGGCTTGGAAGGGACCCCCAAAGGTCATCTAGACCAGCCCCTGCAAGGCAGGAATTGTAGCTGGACTTTTCCTCCAGATCTCAAGTTAGTTGGTGGCTCATTGTGGTCACTTGGAAGGGGGGAAAGACATTCTGCACATGCACAGAGGCATTTGGGGAACCCAGTGGGAGGCTGCCATTCTCTTTCAAAGCCATCCACGTCGGTGGCAGGGAGTTCCATAGCTGAACTCTGTGCTGCGTGAAGCAGCCCAGCCCCCCCCCCCGCCGTCACTCACCCCAGTCCTTGGTGAGGGTTTCATTCAGGCTGACGTGGGTCACCTGGCAGGTGTAGGTGCCTCCCTGCCGGGGGTCCACGGGGAGGGTGAGCAGAGTTTGGTAGGTCCAGTCCCCGTTGCTGGAGGGCACTGCCGGCGGGCCTGTCCCGTTCTTCAGGGGGGCCCCGTTCCACAGCCAGGTGACGGTCACGTCTTGCGGGTAGAAGCCCCACACGACACACGCCAACATGATGGACTCTGGGGTGTTCTGAGGGATGACAGGGAATACCCGGACCTTTGGGGGAGCTGTGGAGAGGAGGGGTACAGGATCAGAATCTGCATTAGATCCTTTGAGGGTTGGCTCAGCTACATGCCTCCTGGTGGAATAAACTTGCCTTCACTTGCCACCCCACTTGCCTTCACTTGCCACCCCACTTGCCTTCACTTGCCACACCACTTGCCTTCACTTGCCACGTCACTTGCCACGTCACTTGCCACCCCCACTTGCCACCCCACTTGCCACATCACTTGCCTTCACTTGCCACCCCACTTGCCTTCACTTGTCACGTCACTTGCCACATCACTTGCCTTCACTTGCCACCCCACTTGCCACACCACTTGCCTTCACTTGTCACGTCACTTGCCACATCACTTGCCTTCACTTGCCACCCCACTTGCCACATCACTTGCCTTCACTTGCCACCCCACTTGCCTTCACTTGTCACGTCACTTGCCACATCACTTGCCTTCACTTGCCACCCCACTTGCCACATCACTTGCCTTCACTTGCCACCCCACTTGCCTTCACTTGCCACGTCACTTGCCATTTCACTTCCCACCCCACTTGCCACGCCACTTGCCATTTCACTTGTCTTGTCACTTGCCATGTCACTTGCCACCCCACTTGCTATTTCACTTCCCACGTCGCTTGCCTTGTCTTCACTTGCCACCCCACTTACCATTTCACTTGCCATGTCACTTGCCACACCACTTGCCTTCACTAGTCAAGTCACTTGCTGCCACTTGCCATCACTTGCCACGCCACTTGCCACCCCACTTGCCTTCACTTGCCACCCCACTTGCCTTCACTTGCTACACCACTTGCCATTTCACTTGTCATGTCACTTGCCATGTCACTTGCCACCCCACTTGCTATTTCACTTCCCACGTCACTTGCCTTCACTTGCCTTCACTTGTCACCCCACTTGCCACCCCACTTACCATTTCACTTGCCACGTCACTTGCCACACCACTTGCCTTCACTAGTCAAGTCACTTGCTGTCACTTGCCTTCACTTGCCACATCACTTGCCCCCCACTTGCCATTTCAATTCCCACGCCACTTGCCATCACTTGCCACCCCGCTTGCCTTCACTTCCCCCACCACTTTCCCAACCTAGCGTCCTCCAGCTACAAGCCAGGTGTTTGGGGCTGCTACCCCCCCTGCCCCCAGCGCCCCCCACTCACTCTTCCTGAGGGCCGAGGGTCCCCACAGCGAATGGACCTGCCCCTGGCAGCGCTGGGCCTCCCCCTTCATCTGCGCCCCCAGGACGTCGTTCAGGTGGTCCGCGAAGTAGGCGGTCAGCTGGTCCCAGGGGCTGTAGGCGCCCAGGCCGCAGGGCAGGAAGCTCCCGCTGGATCCCTCGAAGCAGATGAAGGGGATCTTGTTGAAGGCCACCGTCCAGTTGAGCCAGAGGGCGCGACCCCCGTCCGAGAGGAAGCAGTCCTCCTGCAGGTGGACGACGAAAGCCCCTGCGCCGGGAAAGGGGGAAGGGGTCGAGCGGTGGGTTATTTGCACCCCACTTTTTTCTCAAGGCCGAGTCTCCCCTCCCTCTTCCAGCCCCCCCCAACAACGACCCTGCGAGGTCGGTCGGGCTGCAACTTCCGCATCCAACGAGCCCCGGATCTCTCGATCCTTTCCTCCGCCCCCCCCCCGCATCCTTACCTGTTGGCAGGTAACTCAGCGCCAGGCAGAGGCCGGCCAAAGCCGCCCCGAGAGGCCGCATCCTGACTCCGCTGGGCCAGGAGGAGGAGGAGGAGGAGGAGGAAGAAGGATCCGCTTTGCAGGCTCCGGATCTCTCTCCGCGCTCCTAGGGATCCACTTGGCAAGGGATCCCGGGTTTCGTTTCTACGCTCTCTGGCCGGATCACCAACTCTGACCGACCTCCGGATCCCAGCGAGAGATCTGCTCTCGCGGATCCCTTCGCTGTAGTTTTGGGGGAATTTTTTTTTGCGTGTGGGGGGCAGTGGGATCCTTTCCTCCCTCCAGAGGAGGGTCGCTGTCCCTGGATCCCAGCTCCTCGGGGGATTCCTCGGAGAGAAGGATCTCCTCTGCTGCAACTGCTGCTCTGGCCGCGTCCAGGGGAGCCGACTCTGCCCCCCAACCTCAGCCCCACACTGGGGGAAGGGAGAAGACAGAAATCCCCCGTCCCGCGGGGAGCCAATGGGGAGGCCGCCCGCCGCCGCGTCATCAGTCGCCGGGCAGAGGGGAGCCGTCGGGGTTTTTCAGGAGGAAAGTCTGTGAAGGGCAGGGCAAGGGTTGCATTTTATCCTGGGGCCACAGACTAGTTCCCTGGCGCCCCCCTCTCTGCCCCCCATCCCGGCTTCTCGGGGTGCAAAGCAGGGCGGCAGGGGCGTGGCCTGGGGAGAGGGGCGTGGCCTGAGCAGAGTCCCGAGGGCCGGGCAGCGAGGCCTGGAGGGCCGCAGTTTGGAGGTTTGCACACACGCCGTGCCCTATAAAAAAAAACCCCATAGAAATTCGCTCCACTATGAAGTTGGAAGGGACCCCCGAGGGTCATCCAGACCAACCCGCTGCGATGCAGGAATCTCAGCTGAGGACGCACAGCGGGCCAGAACCGGCCCCCAAGTCCCCAGTCGCTTGAGCCAGAGCTCCTGTTTGGTCGTTGCTTTTTTGCGTTTTGCAGAACCACCACCAGCCAGAGGGGATCCGAAACCGCCCGGCGCCGCCAGATAAAGAATCAGGCCCCCCTCCCCCTCCGCCTCCCGCTTCCTCTTTCCCTCCCCTCCCCCACTGCGCTTTGGCTCGGGTCCACTTTCACTTTCGCCCCGCAAAGGAGCCGGGCGAAGCGTCAGGAAGCCGACGCTCGGGTTCCGGGGGGGGGGGCTGGGCGGGGAGGGGAAGGTATTTGGAAAAGATGGGACGAGTCTCTCTTTTTAAAAAAATGATTTTTATTAAATTTTCCACTTTTATCATAATCCCATTTTGTTACATAATTCTATAACTTAATACATTACTCTATAAGAGCATCGTCCTCCTTCCTTCCCTCTTTCTGACTTCCACACACCTTTCTATATTTTTCGCATTTCTAGAATCACACCTTCTATCTTATTGTAATATTTCACCTTGTTAAATCAGTTCCTTATATTTACATTGCAAAACATTTCAATTCAAGCCTTTCAGATGTTTACAATTTTCTTTCATGTAAATTTATTCCAGTCCTCCTGAAACAGTTTGTCACACTGATTACCGATCCTCAACTTGGCCATCTCTGCGTCCTCCACCACCTTAACCTGCTTCCAATGTTGGGAGTTCCTGATGTTTCCATTTCTGAGCCAGAAGTATCCTTGCAGACCTTGTGGCATCCTAGCTGGTATATTATTTGAAAATAAGGGACCAGCGGCCTCAGAAATAAGGGACCAGCAGCCAAAATAAGGGATTTTGCTAAGCTGATACAGAAATCCGGCACTGATGGAGCCATGCTGCTTTTGCTGCGACAAACTGTGTTTTGCAGGGGGTTGGACTAGATGATCCTAAGGGTCTACAACTCCCACAAAAGAACAGGGGCAGACAAAACTGATGAACGACAAGATGGCAAAGCTTACAGGCAGAATCAGAAACCAGGAAGAGGACCTCTTTCATAAAGAATGGCGAAAGTTTATAATTTAGTTGAAAAGCTATTGTAAAGAGTGACATACATTGGTAGGATGGACAGAAAACTTGTAGTAAAAATTTGAACTAAAGGTAAAAGGTAAAGGTACCCCTGCCCGTACGGGCCAGTCTTGACAGACTCTAGGGTTGTGCGCCCATCTCACTCAAGAGGCCGGGGGCCAGCGCTGTCTGGAGACACTTCCGGGTCACGTGGCCAGCGTGACATCGCTGCTCTGGCGAGCCAGAGCCGCACACGGAAACGGCGTTTACCTTCCCGCTTGTAAGCGGTCCCTATTTATCTACTTGCACCCGGGGGTGCTTTCGAACTGCTAGGTTGGCAGGTGCTGGGACCGAACGACGGGAGTGCACCCCGCTGCGGGGATTCGAACCGACGACCTTTCGATTGGCAAGCCCTAGGCGCTGAGGCTTTTAACCACAGCGCCACCTGTGTCCCACAATTTGAACTATGGATGGACAAATGATTTATAAAAATAGAGTTATGAAAGGGATGCAGAGGGGGAAATCACTACATTAAGATGCTGCACTGGCTGGAGGGGATGCTAAGCAGCACGTCGGGGCTGCCGTCATCCTGGTGCCAGGAGTTCCATCGGCCCTTCCCCGCCCGAGGGGGGGGGAGGGAGAGACTCTTGCCCACGGCACCTGCGAGCCTGGCATGAGGCGGTTGTGCCGCGGCCGCTGAAGCACTGCCCTTCTGCGTCCCTCCCCATCCCCTCCACTTCCTCCTCCCTCAGGCCGCCTCCTCAGCCACCGCTGCCGCCTCCGGCTTCCCCTGGCAGCGCGGCAGAAGTCTCACAAGAGAGGGGCTGCCTGCCTGCCCGCCACCACCCGCCTCCTCACGCCGCGCCCCTGAGGGGGAAAAGGGAGAGACGGAGACGCGGCAGCTCGTGTGCGCGCTCTCTCTCATGGCGGAGGACCCCGAGCCGCTGCTTCCCTCCCAAACCGGGCGAGCATGAAACCCGGGAAATTTAAGGGACATCATCAATCCGGGACAGCAGCGGGAAACAGCACTGGGATAAGGGAGTTTCCCGCCAAATAAGGGACGGTTGACAGCTATGTGTGGCATACATAAACATATTTACATCTCTCTTACATATTTCTTCTCCAATTAAACCTGATAAAAATGCCTATGGCTTTTTATTACAGTTATATTTATATTTTAAAACCTTTTTCAATTCTTTACATATTGCATTGGAAAAGGTGGGGCGAGTCTCAACATCGCCTAGGGCAGACGTTTTCAACCCATGTGCCGTGGCCCCCATGGGTGCCTTGAACGACGGACAGGGGTGCCCCGGATGCCCCCTCGCCTCCCAGGTGCCCCCATCCTATATTTCTGCAGCTGATTCTTCCTGCCTAAGTCTAGAACCTGACATTTGCCCCTGTTGAAATTCATTTTATTAATTTCTCTACAATCCCACCTCGTAGGATAAAAAGTCCCTTCTTTTTCCTTACATTGCCAACATATGTTTGAGCCGGTTTTATACATTCTTGCTATCTGTACTGGTGTTATGTACCATCTATAATGAGTTGAAGAAAATGTTCCAATTAACATTTGTAAAAAAGCCTGAAGCATTTCTGTTAGGGAATGTAGGGAAAGACCTGCCAAGGAAAATAAAGAATTTGTTTATGTATGTGACAACGGCGGCAAGAGTCTTAAAGCACAAGGATGGAAAAATGAAGAAACCCCGACAAAAGAACAGTAGCAAGAGGAATTGATGGACTATGCGGAACTGGCAAAATTGACACATAAACTACAGGACAAGGACAACTGTGGCTTTAAAGAAGAATGGGAACCTTTTACAAAGTACTTAAAGAAACAACAAAATGAGCTGGACTCCTTGGCAGGTTTTGAATAAACATACACAAATTTATTCGTTAACATAATAGATAGATAACTTAGAGAGTTTTACTTAGCAGAGGAACAGTATCTGTTAATAAATCAGAAAGAGGAACTGAGGGAAGTCGTAGGGGGGAGGGAGGGGGGAAATATAATTGTTGGAATAATTTGTTATGTGAAAATAGTCAAAAAAAAAAGAAGAAGAAAAGAAGACGAAGAAAGAAATTCATTTGATTGATCCTCCTTGTGAATACAGTATGAAGTCACTCATTTTTATTTTTTTAAAAACAACCTGTAAAGCAGAACTCTTTAAATAAGCTGGAATCAGGGCATTTAAATTTTTTGCAAAATAAACAGAAACCCCCACAAGTGAAGCTTTCCCCAATCTTCCAGCCTGGTCATGTTGTTGCATGAGAACAGCAGGGCCAGGAAAAACAAAGAAGAAAATAAAGCGCAGGTGTGTGTGTAGCTATTTTTTGAGACAGGGGAGAGGTGTCCCTCCCCCGCCCCCATGCAAGAAGATCAAAGTGGAGGAGACAATCTTGCAGCCACTTCCAAATTTGTCAATACCCGCCCCATGTACTGGGAAAAAAAGAGAGACAATGCACGTACTTTGGAAAACCGAGAAAAACTTCAATATATATATTTTTTAATGCCACGGATTTTGTAATTGCCTGCCCCTCCCCCTGCTCTAATTCCCAGGCCACGCTCTACCTGAGGAATTCTACCTGGCAGGGAATAACACACCTTCTTTGCCTGTACAAGTCACATCCATGGACTCACTCCCCATCTTTCTGTCCCTGACCCCCCCCTCGGATTCCCCCCACCCCACAAAGCCACCCCCCACCTTCTGCCTCAATTCCTGCTTGCAACGCCAGGAAGGACGCGAAAGAATAGTTCCAAAATCTTTTGTTTTTTTGTTTTTTCCCCATTTTATTTGTTTGCACCCCTGGCAATAATTCCACCTGGCACCCGGCGTCAGGAAAGCAAAGGAAAGGGACACATCGCTGAGCAGGAACAATTGCAGGTGCAGCGTCCGTAAGGTCCGAAAACAATCCCCCAAAAAACAAACTTCCCCCCATCTTTTTTTTTTTTGCTCTTTCCATCTCTCTGCTCTCCCTCTTTTAAAAGTTGCAATGTCTCTTTAGTCCTGCGTGGGCCTCCCAGTCCTCCCAGTCTCCCCCCGCTTTTTAAAACTAAGAAGATTCCCACTGCCTTTTTATCATGTTGCCGGGCACAACCACCCTGCAAAGTAGGGGAGTCCCGGGGATTATTCAAGCCTCCCCCATAGCTGCTGTATGAAAGGGCAGAAATTCAACTGGTAGTGACGCCTCCCCCCCATAAATCTCCTGTGCTTCCACATCCCCGATAGCTCAGTTGGTAGAACGACTAACTTAGCAAGCTAGCCCTGGGGATCATCTAATGTTTATTGGATGGATTTCCCCCCTAAATTGATTTCTGAATTCTTAATTTATTGTTATTCACGTTTTATACTGTATTATATGCTGTTTTTTGTTGTTGCATCAATTAAGTATTTAAAATTTGTTGCTAGCTGCCCTGAGCCCAGTTTTCTGAACCGGTAAGGGCAGGGTATAAATAAAAAATTATTATTGTTGCTGCTAATCTCAGTGTCATGGGTTCGAAACCGACATTGGGCCAAACATTCTTGCATAGCAGGGGGTTGGTCTAGATGACCCTGGTGTCCCTTCCATGAGTCTATGATGCTAAAACGTAGAAAAGGGAGAGGGGTTCTGGGGATTACTTCTGCCCAGAAATACTGCAGCTGCCTTCTGCAAGCTGAAAAGGGGCAAACTGCACTTCCTTGCTGTAATGGACAGCACTCTTAACATGCTCAGAGGCACCATCAGTTCACAAGTGCCTGGGCTCAGCCCTGCCACGAACACAGGGCCCAGCTGCCCATTGTGAAGAATCGCGTGGTACAGTCCTCTCCTGCCGCAGCAATTAGCAGGTGATGGTCTCTGTACCTGCACGAGAAGATCCTGTTAAAGGGCCACTGGCAGACCAGGAAGGTCTCTCATTTCCCTGGGAGCGCCGGAAAAGCTGGGTGCTGATGGGCCTGCCCAGAAAATAGATCTGGGGCCAAGCTGTGTCCCTGTCGTGGTGAGAAAGACCCATAGGTGGGAGGAGCAGGAGTGGTGGTGCTAGCGATGTGAGCAGTGGGGTGAGTGATGGTTGTGGTTCTAGCAATGTTCAGTCTACCTAAGTTTCTTGTTCTAGCCGAAGGCCATGACAAATCTGCAGCAACAATGCCAGTGCTAGCAGTGGGGTTGGTGGTGATAGCAGTGTCAGAAGTGGGGTTGGTGGCGACAGCAGTGTCAGAAGTGGGGTTGGTGGTGATAGCAGTGCCAGAAGTGGGGTTGGTGCGACAGTGGTGTCAGAAGTGGGGTTGGTGCGACAGTGGTGTCAGAAGTGGGGTTGGTGCGACAGCGGTGTCAGAAGTGGGGTTGGTGCGACAGCGGTGTCAGAAGTGGGGTTGGTGCGACAGCGGTGTCAGAAGTGGGGTTGGTGCGACAGCGGTGTCAGAAGTGGGGTTGGTGCGACAGCGGTGTCAGAAGTGGGGTTGGTGCGACAGCGGTGTCAGAAGTGGGGCTGGTGGTGACAGCGGTGTCAGAAGTGGGATCTGAGCCAGCCCCGCTTCATCCAAACCTGGCTGGGCTCTTCTCCTCTGCTCCTTCCACCCCCTCATTTACCCCACTGCTCCTCTAGCAGCAATAACTTTAACGGGAGCAGAAGAAGCTCACTTGCATCACTGACCTGCCTCACCCAGGACTGCCCACACTGACTGGCAGCTGTTTCTCTCCGGGTTCACAGACTGGACTCTCTCCCACCCCTGCCGGGAACCAGTGGCAACGGAGACACGGGACCAAAGCAGGGCAGAGAGATGTTCGCCGATCACTGAATGCAAATGGGCACACACATACAGACACAGATTCTGGCACTGAGGGGGCAGTTCCCGTGGGGGGGGGGTGAGGGGTGACTTTAAAGGTGACGCTCCTTCTCCTCCAAATCCCTCCTTCAGGTCGACTCTGGGGATTTCATTCTGGAAAAGAGAAAGGTTGTGGAATCACAGAACTGGAGGGAGGGACCCCTAAAGGGCATCTAGCCCAACCCGCCGCAACGCAGGGATCTTTGATGGTTGCCATATTTCACGTCAAGCGGTGTACACGTTTTGCCCAGCAAGGAAACAGATGAATGAAAAGGGAACCTGCGACCTTGCAGGGGGTTGGGATGGATGACCCTTGGGGGTCCCCCTTCCGACCCTACAAGCCTTTGGTTCCACCTGCCCCAGAGCTGCAGCCTCCTCCTTCCCCAAGGGGCCCGGGGGCCTCCTCCAGCTCTACCTGTGCTGTCGCGCTTGCAGGATACTGCCACCAGGACCACCCCCGCGATGGCAAAGAGGACGCCAACCCCAAACGCCAGGCCACACAGGATGTTCTCCAGGAGCTCCGAGGGGACGGGATTTTGGGGGACTGCAGGAGGGAGGGAGAGGGGAAAGAGGGTCAGTCGGGAGGGGGGGCAGGTGAGAGCACAAGGGCCATTCGGGGCAGGGTGTGGGGAGAGAAGGGGAGAGCAGGGCCTCACCCCAGAACGTCTGGATGCTGAAGGTGTCGCGGGGACTCTTGACGTTGCAGCTGTAGATGTCTCCTTCCTGGGGGGTCACCTCCAAATAGGAGAAGAGCTCAAACTCCAGGTCCTCCACAGGGATTGCCGGAGGGGTGGAGACCCCCTGGGTCACGGGCTGACCTTGGTACGTCCAAGTGACCTCGGCCACCGGAGGGAAGAGGTTGGTCACTGAACAGACGAGCGTGTTGGGCTGACCCAACTGCAGCGGCTGCAGGGGGAAGACCTTCACCTGAGCAATACCTGGGCGGGGGGGGCAGAGGGTGGCAACTTGAGAACGTGGCCTTTTCAGTGGTGGCTCCCCGTCCTTTTACTTACATTATTATTTCCTTTTTTTATTTTACTCATTATTATTTTTATCGTAGTTTTTTTTTTATTGTAACATATATTCTACAATTCCTCGCTGGAGGAAGTTTCTGGTGGCCCCCTCCCTCCCTCCGTCCCCCCAAGGCAAATAAACCCCCCTGACCTTTCGCTTCCGGCATAATTGCGAAATAGTACGAAAAGTTGCTCAGCACGTCGTTGCAGAGCTGGTTCAGCACCCGGATGTGACTTTCGGGGGTCCGGTCCCGCACCCCCGGCTGGAAATCAGGGGAGGCGGGGGTGCCAGGCGGACTCCGAGGAGTTGAACCAGAAGAGCTCCTCATTGTCCAGTGTTTGGACCATCTCAGGGAACAGGGAATCTTGCTGGCACAGGTAGACCTCAGAAAAGAGGTGGGCGGGATCCTCTGGACGTGAAAAAGAGGGAGGTTGGTCACCCGCCACCATCGAGGTGGAGATAAGAAGCTGCCCCAAATCATAGCTCAGTCAGTAGAAAAGGAGGCTCATAATCTCAGGGACACGGGTTCGAGTTCCACGCTGGCCAAAAATTGCAGGGGGAGTGGACTAGATGGTCCTTGAACTCCACAATTATTTTGATGTGCCTCCATGCGCCCCTCCATGTGCCCGTCTTCTGCTGCCTGCCCTCTGCCTTCTGTCCTTCACCCTCCGTGGCTAAGTCATGAAAGCATGAACTTTTGATTAGAGTTTCTGCTGAAATGAGGCTGCATTGTTGCATTTTAATCTCGTTTTTAAGTTGTATTTTAATCCATTGTTTTTATACCTGGTGTCAGCCGCCCTGAGCCCGGTCTTGCCTGGGGAGGGCGGGTTAAAAATAAAATTTATTATTATTATTATTATTAACTAACCTGGGGCCACCCAACCTCTGCTTGAGAAGGCCTTCTGAGGAAGCTTCTGCTTGCAAACAGCAATTACTGTCAGAAAGTGCTTGTGGGGTGAAACAGGGGCTATTGAGCTGGGGTTGGACTAGATGACCCTGGGAACCCCCTTCCAAATCTATCGTTCTACGAGTCTGTGGTTCCGCCAGAGTCTTGTTCTGACGGCGCTGCTACAAGCGGGGAGAGGAAGGAAGGAAGGAACTTCCTCAACACAAGTAGGGGATTTTAAAGCACATTTCCCCCCTCCAAACACCATTTGCCCCCTCCCCCTTCCACAGCCCCCTCAGTTTCGGGGGTTTGGGATTGTTAGGGGATGGGGGAGAGAAGGGGAAACTGGGTGCCAAAATACTATTTACCGTACATAGTTGAGAGGTCCCGGGCCCTAAGGAAGTCAGACTATCCTCCACCAGGGCCTTTTCAGTGATGGCTCCAACCTGGTGGAATGCTATGTCCCGGGAGACCAGGGCCCTGAAGGATTTAACCTCCTTCCGTCAGGCCTGTAAGACAGAGCTATTCCTCCTGGCCTTTAATTTGAATTCAGCCTGATCTTTTATCTCCCTTTTCTTCCCTCCCCTTCCCCTTTTATGAAGATCACCCGCTCTGAGACCCCACAGCTCATTCTCCCCTGGCCTCCTTGCTGCCCCAGGTAGGACCAATTCAGCCAGCTAGCCCTGGGGATTATCTAATTGATTTTTTGAATTTTATTGTTATTCATGTTTTTATACTGTATTTTATGCTGCTTTTATATTTAAGTGTTTCAAATTGGTTGTTAGCTGCCCTGAGCCGGTTTTTGAACCAGGAAGGGCGGGGTATAAATAAAATATTATTATTATTATTATTATTATTTGGAAAAACGCTGTAAACAACTGTGCCTTCGCAGAGGGTTGGGCTAGATGACCCTCAGGGTCCCTTCCAACTCGCCAATCCTGTGAGTCGAGAGTGTGCACACGGGTGTCAGATCCGAGTTCAAGTCACACCAGCAGGCTGCTCCGAAGTCTTTCCCCCCAGTTAAATTGCAAAAGTGAAACTCGGAAGGGATTTTAAAAATAAATAAAGACGGGGTGGCATTTCACCTGAGCTCCAGCGAGCCAAGGTCGCCTGGAAGTCCCAGAGGAGCCGGCATCTTCTGGGTGGGGGGCTGCAGACCACCCAGAAAAGAGTTTGGGGCCGGGTGGAGGAGAGAGAGGGAGAAAGCTGCACCGGTTGAATTTCCGCCTGGCAAATGTTAGCAAGTACACGGACGCTGCCAAGGGAGGCTCGCTGCCAGCTCGTAAGAACTCGCCATGGCTAGGGGGAAAGTACGCAATCTGAATGCCCCCCACCTCCCCCCCCAAAAAAACCCCCACCTTCGTTTTCACACCCCACGCAGGCAGGAAACGGGGAGACGCATTTTTGTACCTCGCACTTCGGCCGCTGCAGCCGCCGCTGCCCCCCAGAGCCAGGCCAGGGCCGCCAGACCCCAGTTGCACCTCCCGGGACCCATCGTCCTCGCTGCCCCACAGCAAATCTCCGAGCCCCACAGCTGAGTTCCCCTAAGTCGCAGCAGCTTCGGGGAGGGAGGATGCCTCCCCCAGGCAGCCAATGGGGCTTCGATGCGCTCCGTCGTCATCAGTTGCCAGGGAGAGGCTGCCCGGCTTCGGCTCTGGAGCGCAGACGGGCTGCTTAGGCTGCGCGAGGAGAGAATCGCAGGGATCCCTGAAGGTCATCCAGCCCAACCCCC